TGTTGTTTAAGGTGTCTCACAACTGGGCTGTCTTACTAATGGGGGGAGACCTTCAAGCACAGGTACGTGTAACATATCGGAGTAAAATATCTGATTTTAATGAGGTTGACTGCATCGCGTCTAACCACGACGGGACGCAAGACTTTAAACGACTGTAACGATGTACCCTGCCTGGCGCTCAGCACTGATGGGAAAAAAACAAGGACTGCACGACGTGGTGTCGGAATCATGTGTCTGAGTGTGGTGTCCAATTTAAAACCGCGGCATGTTATCTCAGTGGTCTAGCATTATTAAACCCACATCAGTCAAAGTTAGCACAAAAAGCCACACACACGTGAAGGCACGTCGCCATGTTAGCGCAATAAGCTTTGAACCATTGACATCAATACTTCGAGTTCTACTACACATTATGAGAACACAAGTGGGCTTCACCAATGTAGGGAATCGAACCTAGGGCATCTGCGTAACAAGTTGACTCACTAACCACGGCCCCCATTGGTGTTTAATGTTAATAGTGAATAGTGATTGTGAACATGGATATTTGATGGTATGCTGATGGAAAGTAAGTTGATTTTCATCAGCAACACTGAGTGAGATGTGGGTATCTGGTGTGTCACTTCACTGTGAGTGAGTGAGTTGGGTTTAACGCCGCTTTTAACAGTATTCCAGTTATATCACGGCGTGTCAGCTTAATGTGGGAGGAAAGCTCGGAGTGATGCAGGTCTCGGACGTTTTCTGCTTCGGTGAAACCCACGAGCACGGGTATGGTGCTGACAAACCTAGAAACATAATCGGGGTGAACCGGGACTCGAACCCACAATCATAGGTTTCTGGTGTGCCCAAGGGACACAACTCTGCACAGCGAATCGCGGCGCCTTTGACGACTGGGCCACCCGTGACCCCCCACTGTTGAACAACCTCCGGACATCTTCGGACACACAAGGATAGGTATTTCTATTTCTTACCACGAAAGGGAACGGGTGGCGCTGTTGACCGAGGCGCCTCAAAGCACTTTGTAGAGTTAAGCCCCTATGGCCTGCTGGAGCTATTATCGTGGGTTCGAATCCCACATTCGACCTGATTGTGTTTCTATTTTTGTCGCCACCATACCCGTGCTCGTGGGTTTCATCAAAGTAGCAAACGTGTGAAACAGGAATCATATTGAGCGTTCCTCCCATCAAGCTGACACGCCGTGGTATGACTGGAATACTGTTCGAAGCGGCTTTAAACCAAACACACCGTTGCCATGATTACATCAACAACCTTACCAAATATGGACGTATTTACACTGCTGGCCAACATAGATATAAGTTATATGACAATGTCTTTTGCTCTTACAAATAATATGTACAAATGCCTTACTTGATAATACGCAAATCAACAGTATCGAGATTCGCAACATCGTAGGGCTATACCCGTGCACTGAGGGAACACGACAGAACCACTGGTTACAATCACTTATATAGGAGTGGCCAGGCCATGTGCGGTTCGCGTATATTTACACGAAGCATGTGCGTGATATCTTGTAGAGGTGATTCGATATTCTATTTCTTAGTCTCAGAATTGTCAAAGGCGCCCAGAGAAAAGAAACTGAGTTAAAGGCAAAATTATGTTTTAGGTGTTTTTTTCTGTATCATGTCATATTTTTTTAGTTCCCAGCAAGCATCAAATAATCGAGTCTGGACCAGACAATCCAGTGATTGATATCATGAGGATCGATCCACGGAATTGGAATACGATGACATGCATAAACCTTGTCAGCGAGCCTAACCACGCGATCCCCAAAGTCGCCTTTTACGGCAAGCATTGGTTGCTGAAGACGATAACACCTATGTAACATTTGGGCAGAGGACATTTTGGCAAGAGGTAGGCATCCACATGGGTTCCAATAGTGCTCTCCTCCTTGCTGGTCTGACTTTATTATGCTCGGATTGCAAAATCAAAACCCGGCAATTTGGCTGAGATGTTTAATATATCGTTCAATGACTGTCCAAAAGTCAATTCCCTTCCACTGATTTACCAACCTGATCTAGAAATAGAGGATGCCAGCGAAACCGCCCCATCTGCTGATAGTGTCTGATGCAATTCGCATTTTTAACTTGTACCATATGTTCAATTGTTTTTTTCATGTGAACAATTGACTTGCCATTGCATGGGTTTGTGACGGGTGCCACCGTTTGGGCCGAACACTCTCACATTTTCGCATACACCTGGTATCATTAGTATTTCATAGTGATTCATAACATGATAAATATGGTATAGTTGGAATCGCACAATAGATTTCCTATGATTATGGAAAATATTTTGTTATTTATTATTCATTTAACGAAATTATATGCTAAGCGGCCTTAAACCCAACACTCTCACTCACGTATTGGTGCAGCTGATGCTGAATCAGAAAGATGTTGGTCTGTCATATATTATGCACAAACGCGCACACACGCACACACGCACACACGTACACAAGCAACCATACACACAAACTCAAACACGAACACGCATACATTAACACGAGCTCACTAACACACAATTCGTAGACTTTGTGTATAAGTATTTACATTCAAAAATATATAAATACTATATGTGGAAAATCCAAAAATATGTTTTTAGAAATAGGGTAAATAACTAACTGTGATGAATTAGCTCTTAACCATTTTCAAGCAATATCACGGTGGGGGACACCAGAAATATGCTTCACAAATTACACCCATTTGGAAAATCGAACCCAGGCCTTGGAGTGACGAGCTAATGCTTTTAACCACAAGCCTACCACAGCCTAAAATATACTGACAGTCTTTCAAGAAAACATTCATAACTTTATAAATAAATATATAAAATACTGAGTCAAATTATAAACTTCACATTTTTTAAAGTAATCCCATATATGATATACAACGGACAAATGTATCAGAGAAGGTAATTATTAATCATTAATGTCCATTAATCATTAATTAACGGTGGTAACCATAATTTGTTCCAAGCACCTACGGTATTCGGTAATAGTCCCAAGCACGAGAATCTGATGGCACACAAGTTCAGTAGCGTGTATGGCCACCATGTGCGTTGACAACTGCCACACACCGCCTCCGCACGGACCTTGTGATGCTTGTAAACACATGATTCGGAAGACGACGCCATTGTTGCTGCCAAATGGTGCCAAGATCTTGCAAATTCTGTAGTTGGTTCTGGAGAGTGCGCAGACTTCTGCCAAGAGCATCCCAGACGTGTTCGATGGCATTGGGGTCGAGAGACCTTGACGGCCAGTCCATGACGTTGACTCCCGCATTCTGAAGGTAATTCCTTGTCAAAATTGCTGTGTGGGGTCTGGCATTGTCGTGTTGGAAGATCAAACCGGGTCCATGTGCTGCCATAAAAGGCAGAAGTTCTGGTGCCAGTACCTGGTCGCGGTAAGCAGCAGCGTTGAAGTTGCCACGGATGACAAGAAGCCTGGAACGTGCATTGCCACAGAAAGCACCCCACACCATGACACTTCCGCTTCGAAATCTGTCAACTTCCTGGACACAACACTGGGCGTAACGTCCACGACGGCGCCTCCACACCCTCGCCCTACCATCAGCTAATCGAAGATTAAATCGGGATTCATCACTGAAGACGACTTGATTCCAATTCCTCTGAGTCCATCGTAAGTGTCGCTGTGCCCACAATTGACGTTGACGTCTGTGCAATTGAGTCAGAATCGGCCCGCAGTATGGCCGTCGTGCTAAAAGGTGAGCAGTTCTCAGACGGTTTCGAACAGTTTGCGCACTCAGTCTACACCTAAACAGTTCATTTCTGGTTGATGACGTAACGTAAGGTGACGTAAGACAATCTGACGATCCTCTGCATGTGACGTCACACGTGGTCGACCTGGCCGAGGGCGATCAGCGGTGGTACCCGTTTGCTGTAGACGCGTCTGTAAATCATAAACAGTCCGTCGACTACAACCCATCGTCCTTGCGACTTCAGCTACGGACGTTCCCGTCAGCAACATGCCGATGGCACGTTCACGTTGCACATTTGAAAGGCGTGGCATGACAAATGGCCGTAAAGACTTTTGTTTTCTTGTGTTTTTCTTTTTTTTTGTTAATGACTGCTGACAAGTATGGCTGAAAACACGTGCGGTATTATGGCCACGTGACCAGTTGCACATGAAAAAACACTTTTGCCACTATAGTGATGTGCACATGATTTTGATCGATTCACCTGCACAAAAACGGGTGTTATCTGAAGACAATACGTGGCCATTACTGTTTAAATACACAATAAGGGCCCACAATGATAACTGGTCAAAATGTTAAAATTTTAGGATTGTAAAGTTTTTAATTTGGTTCAGTATATATATGTAAATCGTCAACGCCAGATAATAACCAGTCTCGATTATCTGTCTAAACAGATCACTGGGTGTAATAGTCAAAATAACGGCGAAAAGTATATGAATAGGTCAGTGATGGCAGCAGGTGTTCACGACACGCCGTAGACAGGAAGTGAAGGAACGTTCTCCTTATCAGTATCGTTTATGGTTGGAGAAGCATCATTACGGGGAGATCATGCTTGACAAGAGGGCGGGTTTGTTAAATAGACCGATCACCGTTAGGTCGACGACATTTAAGAGACAGATGTGTCATCCTCACAGTGAGTAGACAATTATTATTTTAGTTTCAAGATGATAAGGTCATATATGAAAAGAGTTGAGTCACCAGGTGTAAAACCTAAAGACCCAACTAATGGGACTGATCTTACTATCTTGCTGCTTGTAGTCATTAGTGCTACCGTTAGGGCAGGATATGCTTACCCTTTAAGCGAACACCTAGTGTCTTCATTGATTTTCAGTGGTCCTTTCACATAGTTATCACAGATATTTTGTCCTTAAGGCCAAACTGAATCTGCTTCGGTGGATAATCAAGACTAGTTATTCTCTTGCATTGACCATTATATAATATCATGTATTATGAGACGTCAGTATATGGTGAACCGCCTCCGTGGTCTAATGGTAGAGCGTCCGCCCGGAGAGCGGAAGGTCCGGGGTTCGATCCCAAGCCGCATCATACCAAAAGACCAAAAGATGGTACTTGTTGTTACCCTGTCTGTCGCTCGGCATTAAGGGGCTAAAACAAGGTCTGGTCGGCTCGGAGTCAGTATATTGTGTCTGAGTGGGGTATTCATGTTAAACTGCGGCATGGTATCTCAGTGAGCTAGCACTATAAATCGGCATCAGTCCGGACTATTACAAGCAGCCACACACACACACACACACACACACACAAATACACGTGCATGCACGTCGCTTTATAAGTGCAATAATCTTGGAGGCGACGTTAAACCCCATTTCACCTCACCTCAGGATATGGTGCCATGCTTCTTTTATATATGCGATCGCTGCCGTCGTCTAGTGGATAGAGTGTCTCCCCTGAGAGTGGAAGGTCGGGTTTGATCCCCGGTCGCGCCATACCAAAATATGGTAAAGTATGTTAGTTGTTGTAGCCCTGCCTGGCGTTCACCATTTATAGGTAAAACAAGGTCTGTTCGGCTCGGAGTCAGTATGTCATGTCCAGTTCATTAGAATGTCCCCAACTCTCTCGTGAGAAATGCCTTCTGTTTTGGCAATGTAACGTGTAGTGAATCGTTGACTATGCATAATCATATCATGTATTTTATCAACAATTTGCTTAGTGGTGAAGGTATTCTCGATCTTTGGTCGTCGTCGAGGGTCTGTCTACCCCTCTTGGACTCCACTGTCCACCTCCTTTCATCCCCTAAAATTGACACCATGTCCACATGTTTGGCTGAAGGAGTTCGCCCTTTCATAAGAAATAGACAACAGCGCGGTGGCCAAATTGGTCCATTCTCATCAAAAGAGAATACCTGGTCACTTTGCCTGCACACATATTCTGCCTGGTTGTGTATTGGGTAAGCATGGAATGTTTTGTACTTAATACATGTACATTTGAAGGGTGTACTAAACAGTCTTTGTAGTTTGTAGGCTCACAACTTTTCAGCCACCCCTCGTATATGGGCGTAAAACCTCATTCACGTATTACACCAGACAACGTCAAGCTTGTTCAATAACCACACACAATATTAACATTGGATTTTGACAAAAACAACTCTTTATGATGTGAAACTTTCGAAAGTGGGAATACATGATAAACAAAGTTGTTCTGCTTGTTAAACAAGAGGACCACCTCCGTGGTCTAGTGGGTAAAGTGTCTGCCCGGAGAGCTGAATGTGGTTCCATCCCCGGCCGCGTAATACCAAAATACGAAAAGAGATGGTACCTGGCGTTTCCCTGCCTGGCGTTAGGAATTCAGGGGATAAATCAAGGCCTGGCAGGTTTGGAGCCAGTACAATGTATGGGATATCCATATTTAATTGCGGCTTGGTATCTCAGTGGGCTAGCACCATATAAACCGGAGTAATACAAACAGACACAGCTACCTTGCATGTCATAATAGAAGTACCATAATCTTGAACGCGCCGGTAAAGCCTATTCCACTTCATCTCTTAAACAAGAAACTTCAGCATTTTACAAATAGATGAAATGATTTTCAAATGCATCTTGTCAACAGGAACTGTCTCCAACGGGCGCCTCAATCAACTGTAGGTCGTCGTCGACGTGCTCTATAATGAGTCTTCTATCATCCTGAAAACGTAAGAAGCGTTGACATTAATCTAACAAATCAGGGGCAAGTGCAGCCTTCTTTTCGAACCCTAAGCAATTTTATGCCGACTTCTCATTTACCAGAAAAATAGATATCAAAACCCTTTGCATAACTTTGGATACTTGATACTAATTGGTCAACCGTAATGAGTGAATGAGTCGTGTTCACCTTCAGTAATTCGGTTATATAACGGCCTGCAACCATACCACGGGAGGGAAGTCGAGAAGTTTTAACGCCAGTCCTATACGTTTACCTTATTGGAGAAACCAACGAGATTGGGTATTGACAGATCATGACAAACAGGAGAAACTCGGGGATTATAACACGCTCAGTGGATTCTGGCACGACTAAGGGACGCAACTCTATACAGCGAATTGCAGCCTAACAGGCCATGAGCACTGGTATACTGCTGACAGACTAAAGCACATTATATGGCGATCCCCTTGGACATAACTGATTCTGGTCAACCCGGTATCTACTCGTAGAAAAGCATTTTGGAAAATCCGATGAGATCCTACATAAGACAGGTGCAGATTTATACTGAAACTGAATTATGATGATTATGGACAATACAGCTTCTTGGATAGCTTGGTGCCAATGTAATGTACATCTAAAAGAACCAGACATTTTACAAAGGCGATTATGATTTTACTTCGTCTTTTGGCAATATTCATTCAATGTCATGACGGAGGCCACCAGACATGGATTTCACACATTGTACCACACTGAACCGGGTCTTTGGTTAACACTCGAGCCCTTATTCCACCATAATCTATGCAAAGAATCAGTAGTCAATAGGCAGAGCTTGAAATACAAAGTGAAATTTCAATTTGAGAAAGGGAATGGTGAGGGTCCTACGGAGTTCATGTTTATCCCAGCGAAACATCCTCACACTTCAAATATGTACTGGGAAGATAACGTTTGGTAACACATGTTTCCCTTATGACAATAGTGAGTGAGTTGTGCTTAACGCCGCTTTTAACAGTATTCCAGTCATATCACTGTGCGTCAGCTTAATGAGGGAGGAAAGCCCGAAGTTATGTAGGTCTCAGACGTTAATCACTTCGGTGAAACCCACGAGCACGGGTATGGTGTTGACAAACCTAGAAACATAATCGGGGTGAACCGGGATTCGAACCCACAATCATAGGTTTCTGGCGTGCCCAAGGGACGCAACTCTGCACAGCGAATTGCGGCGCCTCAGACGACTGGGCCACTCCGATTGGGTTTCGAGGTTTGATGGTTTAGATTTTCGTTTCTTTTGGTTTCAATTTGGTCGCCGACAAGTATATACAACAGGGGGCCTACTAGTTTTCTATTTCGGAATCGCCATGGCAATTATATCATTAGAGGGAGTGGGTGAGTGGATTTGGGTTAATGCTGCTTTGAACAATATTAGTTATATTACGACGTGTCTGTTTGCTGTGGGAGGAAAGGGACGCAGGTTTAAGTCGTTTGCCATTTGGTGAAACCCACGAACATTGGTATGGTGCTGACAAACCTTGAACCATAATCGTAACGAACTGGCGTTCGATCCCACCACAATAGGCTCTGGCGTACCCAAGGGACACAACTCAGCAAATTACGGCGCCTTAGACGACTGGGTCACCCGTGTCCCCTTAAGTGATTAGAACGCAAAATGATTCCGTTATCCTCGCTACAGTGAAACCCTGTTAGTCCAGACCCGTGAGTCACAACGGTACCACCCAAATTAACGGGGTTTCATGCTGTTCCTTACACTGACATAGCTGTACGTACCTGTGCGTATGATCGTCTCTTTGTGACTGTTTTCCGGACAAAACATAAAATGACCACAACAATCACCAGAACTACCAGAATTGGCATAGCAATGGAGAGGGCCTCAAGACTTGCTAAGTGGGTTCTCTGTTTGCGCGATACTAGAAAGGTGGTTGATGTGGAGTCTTGACTTCTCCTTGATGGTTCTGATGTCGACTTATGATCCTTCCGTGGCGGTCCTGAGGTTGAGCCACGATATATCCTTGATGGTTCTGATGTGGAGCCACGGTCAATCATTGATGGTTCTGATGTGGAGCTGTGATTTGTCCTTGGTGGTTCTGATGTGGAGCCACGATCAGTCATTGATGGTTCTGATGTGGAGCTATGATTTGTCCTTGGTGGTTCTGATGTGGAGCCACGATCAGTCACTGATGGTTCTGATGTGAAGGTAGGGCCTGTCCTTGGCTGCTCTGATGGGGATACTGCCTGGGCATGCGTACAGTTGCCGATTACTTCATTTTGCGGACAAACAGAGTGACATGTCTTGTTCCAAACAAAGGCTGCATGTGAAGGACAGATGCTGAGGCATGACCTGTTGTAGATTACAAATCCCAGTGTCCTGCAGGAGGAGTGCTTTATACATATAGATTTATTCAACATGAGTGTATCGGAGGGGCAGCGGGAGACACATTTACCTGTGTTATTGTACGGAACGGAAACTGGACAAGTTGGTCTACATGTTCCATTGTTAATCACCCATCCTTTATCTCTACACTTCGTCATAGGGACACATATTGAGTTGAAAGTCACCCATCCTGAATTTGTACAGTTGTCTGCAGGTACACATGTTGAGTTGAAAATCACCCATCCTGAATTTATACAGTTGTCTGCAGGGACACATGTTGAGTTGAAAGTCACCCATCCTGAAGTTGTACAGTTGTCTACAGGTACGCATGTTGAGTTGAAAGTCACCCATCCTGAATTTGTACAGTTGTCTGCAGGGACACATGTTGAGTTGAAAGTCACCCATCCTGAATTTGTACAGTTGTCTGCAGGTACGCATGTTGAGTTGAAAGTCACCCATCCTGAATTTGTACAGTTGTCTGCAGGTACGCATGTTGAGTTTAAAGTCACCCATCCTGAATTTGTACAGTTGTCTGCAGGGACACATGTTGAGTTGAAAATCACCCATCCTGAATTTGTACAGTTGTCTACAGGAATACAGGTTGAGTTAAAAACCACCCATCTTAAACGTATGCATTGGTTCAAAGAAACACACGCTGTTCCATTAACAAGGGCATCTTGAGAACACAATTCTGTGCATGTTCCATTGTTGTGATAGGGAACATTTACCGGACACTGGAAAACACATGTGCCATTAGAAATGAACTTATGTGACGCGAGACATACTTCAGGAGATATACACAAGGAATGATCGACAACATACTGCAATGGGCATGTCTCAACGCAAAAACCATCTTTATGAAAGTAAGTTTCATCAGGGCATTTACCAACACAGGTGTCGTTGTATATCACAGACGGCTTCTCAAGGCATTGGTCTGGTGTTATACACCGAGAGTTGGAGTCCAGGATGGTAATACCTGGACAGGATGGGTGACAAGTCACCCCACTGATGTACGGAGCCTCGGGAGGACAGGACTGTAAACACTTCTGGTTGTATAAAACTCCCGAATATTCTGAATCACAGTGTTCCTGAAAGATGCAGGTTGTTCCATTGATGTACGTATCTTTCGGGCACCTGACGTAGCACCAGTTCAGGTCTCGGTAGTGGAACAACCCTTCTGCGCATGTCTTGACACAGGTTCCGTTGTAGAGGACCCAGTTTGAATCTAAACACTCGTGTTTCCCTATACATTGTGTTCCATTCGCATAAGTAGGTTGTGGACAAGTGGCGTAGCAAGTGTTCTCCCTGTCGCAGTAGGGTTCGGCCTCGGCACACTCACAGGAGAATGTAAGACTTTGTACCTTTACAAGTAGAGAGAGGCTCGCCACAAGGAGGAGGACTGTTTGGGTCATGGTGCGTGTGGCTGGTGTAGTGTATATTCGTCCGATTTCATCTGGAATATGAACAAAGCCGTTATGGTGAATTAGTTGAAAGGAAAGTTCATAGCATGTGTGATTGATACTAGCGATGTTGATGTGTTACAGTTGTGTCGAATTACGATTTGGTTGGTTAGTGTCAAACAGTGTATGTTTGCCCTTGAGAAACTACATGTCTCTACATACCCAAACAAACGAAAGAAACACAGAAACACAACAAACAAACAAATAAACAAAACAATACAAAAAGCAGCCAACAATACACACAAAATACCAACACAACAATAAAAATGATGTAAATTCTAACAGAATTTCAGACTGTAAGTCGAGACATAAAAAGTTAAATAGATGAGCAGTAGGATATGGGTAAATAAATAAATTGATAAAACTAAAATAAAGGAATAATCATGGTCAATAACGGAAAAGGAAACAACAACAATAATAATAATAATAATAATTATTATTATTATTATAAATAATAAAAATAATAATCATAACAACAACAACAACAACAATAATAATAATAATTTGACCGGTATGCTCACCATAAACGTCCTAAATATGTTGGAAAGGAATTTCCAAATACTTATCCCAAGCCGAAATTAAATAAAATGTTTACTACATACAGATACAGCGTAAACCTATACTCAGATTATGAGAGTCGGAAACAGCAACAGCTGTATTGTGTTGATGTTATAGGGCCCTATAAATAATATTGATTTTGCAGATCGATACATATTTCAATAACAATTTACGTTGAGCAAACAGTAATCGATTACAGTAATGTGTAATTCAATCATGAACAGACCACAAAGTAGACCGATATATATTTGATCACTTGTCGAAGCTCACGTTAGTTCTAACAAACAAATAAAGTTAATACGTTTGTTCTCTTGTTGATTACCCTGTGTATATAAATAACCATGACTCACCATACCAAATACAGAACCATGACTCACTGTCGCCGTTCCTATGACTCTTCTCTTTGACTTAAATTTGTCTAGCATGTGATGGTACTATTGTAGCGCATTTATCTACAAGGCTTATCATAACACAATGGAGGTATAATACATTAAAAAAACAAGGAGGTTTTTGATATTCTAGAAAATGAAATAATATGACTGAAACAGCATGGGTATCCTACAAATTGCTTCATGGATATATATTATGAATATCAAGCACATTTCAGGTCATGTGCTACATTACATCCGTTGACCCCTTTTTCACAACACCTCCTCGTGTGTAACACAGATAACTATGTACCTAGTATTCGAGTTTTAACACTAAATGTGGCGTACAGAAGCCGTATGATACAAGGAAAAGTATGACATAGATCACGGTTATATCCCAGTAACACTTAGTTTTGAGAGTTCCCATTTTAAGGCCAATATATTTCATACGGACATCGTTAACAGCGTCCGGTTTAACGAGTGCCTGTACAAAGCAGTACAGCTTATACTGAACTTGACGTATTTCTCTCTTCTCCGAGAGGCTGTTATCACAGTGTCCAGAATACCATGGATTCCCATCATAGATGCAGCATACAGCGACAAACCCTTGACCTCATATTGATGTAATTTTATAATATTTTTATGAGATAACTATTCAAAATAGTTCCATTACTCCAACATTCGTTATGAATGCATGGAAATAGATAACAAAAATAAGTCGTATTTCTTACCATAATTTGATGTTTCTCGGCCTCGTGTGTAAGTCTGTGTGTATTTGGCGGTCGTGGGACTGACAGCACTTTTTATAGGCTATAAAAGGCTACATTCCCTCACACGTACCTATAAGTCAAACACTGAATGCGCAGAGAATGGGACAGCGGGTAAGTCGATAGTGTCCGACACGAAGGCTATTATTAAACTTGAATGTACTGAAGCGGCACAATAGAAGTTGTGAAGTTCATTCCACACGGATGTCCTATGAGCTTGCGTCACTTACAGAGCTGGTAAGATAGATACGCGATAAATCACAAAGAACAATGAAGAACGAAGCGTGGTATATTTTACGATAAAACGTTGCTCTGTCATGACGTCATTTCTGGAGATTCGAATATGCGCTCACAACTTGATGACGTCATATATTGGATGACGTTATTTTTGAGAGGGAAGTATCTGGTAAGTTGTTTCCTACAGATGTAGCTGGGATACGCAGATAAACGCAGTGACCGAATGATCGCATCCAAAAGTCGGAGAGATATAACAATCGGTATAAGGAGAAAAGGCAGAGAGAATCGACGTGAGGAATGTGACAATATGCGAAGAAATATCAAACTAACCCACCCGTTCGTAAAATGCACTTGTCCGAAGTCGGACTCTATTCAGGGAGTCATCTTTATTAAAATTTAGGTAAATATTTTTAAAGCTTGTGCATTTTATCATCATCCTTAAAGAGGCTGTACATAATGTTGATATCTCATATAAAAATAATGAACGACCCTTGGTCGTTGTTTATCGTAAATTAGAACACTGCAGGGAGAATAAATCACTCGGGGCTGCGCCGCGCATGGCTTATTCTCCCTGTAGTGTCTTATTGTACTATAAACAATTCCCAAGTGTCGTTTATTTCTTCAATAACCCTAAAGGATAAGCAACATTTCGACCTCACACTCGTATCAGCACGCACAAACACAGTAGGGTCGGTTGTCATGGGAGATATACAACTACGGTGTTTGAATAATTATTGGTTGGTGTTGTCACAGCACAACATATCAACAGTGTGAGTTCAAAACAAATAATATACAATGAAATAAAATAGTCACGGGTTAACTTTCATTCGCAATGGTATGATTTCGCCATTGCATGGTATTAGCATGGGTAAAATTGTAAACTTTAAGAGTGAAACTTCACAAGAACTGAAATGTTTCTTTTGCGAATGCTGGCCTGACTGAAACACAAATCACCTCGCGACCGGAATACCTTCTGTGTTTCAAAATGCAGCGATTTAATGATTGAAAATACTATTTATATACCCAATACACTTGAAATGGTTCGTGATATGAGAATAGCTCCTCAAGTTTATTGGAGGCCGTGGGCACGGGTGGCCGTGTCGTCTAAGGCGCCGCGATTCGCCGTGAAGAGTTGCGTTTCTTGGGCACGCCAGAAACCTATGATTGCTGGTTCGAGTCCCGGTTTACCCCGATTATGTTTCTAGGTTTGTCAGCACCATACCCGTGCTCGTGGGTTTCACCGAAGTGGTAAACGTCTTAGACCTGCATCACTTCGGGCTTTCCTCCCACATTCAGCTGACACGCCGTGATATAACTGGAATACTGTTAAAGGCGGCGTTAAATCCACTCACTCACTCACTCAATCACTATTGTAGGCCTATAATCCACCTAACAGTAACAACGCACATCATGTACCTGGACACTGCGAGCATACAGGAAGATCATAATGAAAATATACTGCAATGAACATCAATGTATACGCTCATGCAGGCTATGGAATAACATGTGTAAGTTGTGAACCCTGATTTATTCACTCCCTGTTTTGGAGACGAAGAAGGGTTATGTTAACATACAGAGAATTAGCATATTTCAACATACTGTGAAGGAGCATTATTTTAATGCACAGCGGTGTCGTGTTATTTCTACCAACATCGAAGTAGCGTTATTTTAACATGCAGAGAATTAGCATATTTCAGCATACTGCGAAGTAGCGTTATTTCACCAATTAGAGAATTACCACATTTCAATATACTGCGAAGTAGCATTTAACATACAGAGAATTAGCATATTTCAACATACTGCAAAGTAGCCTTATTTCAACATACAGAGAATTAGCATATTTCAACGTATATACTTTGGAGTAGCGTTATGTTAACATACAGCTAATTACCATATTTCAACATACTGCGAAGTAGCGTTATTTCAACATACAAAGAATTAGCATATTTCAACATACAGCGTAGTAGCGTTATTTCCCCATTAAGATAATAACCACATTTCAGCATACAGCGAAGTAGCCTTATTTTAACACACAGCGATGTGTTATTTCTACCAACATCGAAGTAGCGTTATGTTAACATACAGCTAATAACCACATTTCAGCATACAGCGAAGTAGCCTTATTTTAACACACAGCGATGTGTTATTTCTACCAACATCGAAGTAGCGTTATGTTAACATACAGCTAATTACCATATTTCAACATACTGCGAAGTAGCGTTATGTTAACATACAGAGAATTAGCATATTTCAACATACAGCGTAGTAGCGTTATTTCCCCATTAAGATAATAACCACATTTCAGCATACAGCGAAGTAGCCTTATTTTAACACACAGCGATGTGTTATTTCTACCAACATCGAAGTAGCGTTATGTTAACATACAGCTAATAACCACATTTCAGCATACAGCGAAGTAGCCTTATTTTAACACACAGCGATGTGTTATTTCTACCAACATCGAAGTAGCGTTATGTTAACATACAGCTAATTACCATATTTCAACATACTGCGAAGTAGCGTTATGTTAACATACAGAGAATTAGCATATTTCAACATACAGCGTAGTAGCGTTATTTCCCCATTAAGATAATAACCACATTTCAGCATACAGCGAAGTAGCCTTATTTTAACACACAGCGATGTATTATTTCTACCAACATCGAAGTAGCGTTATGTTAACATACAGCTAATAACCACATTTCAGCATACAGCGAAGTAGCCTTATTTTAACACACAGCGATGTGTTATTTCTACCAACATCGAAGTAGCGTTATGTTAACATACAGAGAATTAGCATATTTCAACATACTGCAAAGTAGCGTTATTTCAACACACAGCGATGTTGCTGTTATTTCAGTGAAATAGGGGAAGCTACTAGTATGCAAACGGTGAAATTGCGTGGTCTGAGAAGCATTTCGCTGATCACGGGTTCGACTCCGCTAATCGTCAGTTTGTCGGCACCTAATATCGTGGGTTTCACCAAGGACCTCAACGTCACTAATACTTTCCTCCCACTCCAAGCAGACACGCCGTGATGTAACAAAAACCTATCCAAAGCGGCGAAAAATAATACTCACTCATTGTACATTTAGGTGACTGTAGAGTGTACCTGGGCGCCATCTCCAGATGAAAACAACAAACGGTTGTCACATTTTGTTGACTACGTACGACTTCATTCAAATAACTCCATATCAGGAGACCGCCACCTTGGTCTAGTGGTAGAGCGTCCGCCCGGAGAGCGGAAGGTCCGGGGTTCGATCATACCAAAAGACGTTAAAAGATGGTACTTGTTGTTACCCTGTCTGGCGCTCGGTATTAAGGGGCTAAAACAAGGACTGGTCGGCTCGGAGTCAGTATACTGTGTCTGAGTGGGGTATTCTTGTTAAACTGCGGCATGGTATCTCAGTGAGCTAGCACTATATATCGGCATCAGTCCGGACTAGTACAAGCAGCCACACACACACACACACACACACACACACACACACACACACGTGCATGCACGTCGCTATATAAGTGCAATAATCTTGGACGCGACGTTAAACCCCATTTCACCACACCTCACCATATCAGGCATTATCGATTACGTGTTTAGTAAACTGTGAAGATCAACTGTTCATGTGTAACGTTTGAGGTAGGCACGTGTGCAGTATTAACACAATGGGAACTCGACTACTTCCAGTGGTAGGCAGCAAGGGGAGACTGCTAATTTCATGTTATGAATACTGTATAACTGACTTATCTGTAACAAAACATCTGTATTAATTACGAGACGGGAAGATGGTGTTAATTCTTTGTTTGTTTGTTGTTTAACGCCGTACTCAGCAATATTCCAGCTGTATGACGGCGGTCTGTAAATAATCGAGTCTGGACCATCGTTGGGTCCCGAATTGCGAAATAGTTTGGTGTATTTTCGGAAAATTCTGCATCATCATGGTTGCAGTGATTGTGATCCACGCAATGGACATCCAGTGATTGACATAATGAGCATCGATCAACGCAAACGGGATTCGATGACATGCATCAACTACGACAAGCGAGCTTGACCACCCGATCCCGTTAGTCGCCTCTTACGACAAGCATAGTCGCCTTTTACGGCAAGCATGGGTTGCTTAAGACATATTCTACCCCGGATCTGCACGGGTAGATGTTAATCCTGGACCAAAGTGACTAACAGGGTGTTTTGTTTTCACTCCGTGCTTCAAGACATGTTTCTGTTTTCTTTAAAAGGTTGGGCCAGATAATTGGCAATGCAAAACACATTATATTTCGGAACATCCTTCAATTACACAATGTGTTTCTGTAATTAATGAGGGATTTTTTTCCAGTCACACAGAAATCTACGTCGGCTCACAGGTAGGTGTGTATTGACTGATTGAACTGTGGATGCATTGCAGTTGTTCATGCGATACATCGACGCCAACTGGTACATCAATAGTTGGCTTCCCACATGGAAATAGACCCCTTTTAGATGAGCTTTTTGATTTGGTTTGGTTGGTTGGTTGGTTGTTGTACGCCGAACTCTGCAATACTCCAGCTATATGACGGCGGTCTGTAAATATTCGAGTCAGGACCAAGCAATCCAGTGATTGCTATCGTGAGCATCGATTGACATGGTTCAACCAAGTCAGCGAGCTTGACCACCCGATCCCGTTAGTCGCCTCTTACGACAATCATAGTCGCATGGGTTGCTTAAGACCTGTTCTATCCCGGATCTTCACGGCTCAGTTCTTGTTGAAGAGAGAGAGAGAGAGAGAGAGAGAGAGAGAGAGAGAGAGAGAGGGAGAGAGAGAGAAAGAGAGAGAGAGAGAGAGAGAGAGAGAGAAAGAGAGAGAGAGAGAGAGAGAGAGAGAGAGAGAGAGAGAGAGTTGTGTGTTATTTGGTGTGTACGCGGTGTGGTGTGTGTATGTTTTTGTGTATGTGAGTTGTGTGTGGTTTGGTGTGTAGGGGGTCTGGTGTGTGTGTATGCGTGTGTTAGTGTGTGTGCGTGCGTGCGTGTGTGTATGTGTACACAGGTATCCAGCTTTTCCCACAAACAATCTAGGGAAACTAGTGTCTTGAGCGGTGAGTGGCGTTAAACCTATCT